CAACGCCAATCCACCACTGAATGGCACGATAGCCGGCACGCCAGCAACCTAGATTAGAACGCTGGTAAGACAACGCCACACCAGATACTGGACACTATTTTGCCGTCAGATAGTGAGACATCTGACCATGAATCCAGGGTGCAGGGTACGCCAGGCTTGAGATAAGACGGGACCCACGGGAAGAGGGAGGTAAACAGGTGGATGGATAGATGATATCGGGGTGAGAAATCGCCCGGGCTTTGTGAGGAAAAGAGATAACGAAATAACGAGAAAGGGGATAACAAGGAGAGAAGCAGAATAGGAAGGCAGCTAGTCCAGGGGCGTTGAGCCGAGCGGTCGACAGGCACGGTAGCTTGTGAGCATAGAAGTTTACTGTATGGCCGAGAGTTAACCAAATAGAAAGAAAATATTAGACTTGGAATGACATCGTGTTTATAATAAGGAAACTTAATTACATTAGATTTATTTGATCACTAGCCGTGTTGTTAAACACAATAGATATACAAACATTGTCTCGTATACTGCGTTCCATTTAGGTACATCTGATTGAGTTTGGGGGATGAGAAAGGTAAAATAGTACCACACTGATATAAAAAGAATGTTAAAGCTGAAGTTTACAATGGAGCACAGTTTTTACCCTTTAGAATTTACGTCTCTCTTCCAGAACGGCAAGCCTCTGCACAGACCAAGAACTCTGTAACTCTGGCGACGATCACCAAGGGTCTCCGTAAAAACTGCACTCGTGAACTGAACGATGCTGCCGTGAAACGAACCCGCGACCTTCAGAGCGCGAGACAAACGGCTTGACCAGTTCGCCACGGAGGCACTCGATTTAAAGAAGATTATGGATTAGTCTTATCGGAGGAAAATTCAGTCTGTTTGGTCGGTACAGCCCTATAAAGTATGCCATGTGGATCTCCGAGACTCTTCGGTACAGTCCTATACAGTATGCCATGTGGATCTCCGAGTCTGTTCAGTACAGCCCTATAAAGCAAGTATGCCATGTGGATCTCCGAGTCTGTTCAGTACAGCCCTATAAAGCAAGTATGCCATGTGGATCTCCGAGTCTGTTCAGTACAGCCCTATAAAGCAAGTATGCCATGTGGATCTCCGAGTCTGTTCAGTACAGCCCTATAAAGCAAGTATGCCATGTGGATCTCCGAGTCTGTTCAGTACAGCCCTATAAAGCAAGTATGCCATGTGGATCTCCGAGTCTGTTCAGTACAGCCCTATAAAGCAAGTATGCCATATGGATCTCCGAGTCTGTTCAGTACAGCCCTATAAAGCAAGTATGCCATGTGGACCTCCGAGTCTGTTCAGTACAGCCCTTTAAAGCAAGTATGCCATGTGGATCTCCGAGTTTGTTCGGTACAGCCCTATAAAGCAAGTATGCCATGTGGATCTCCGACAGTGTATCTCTCGGTCTGATTATCTACTTCCTCAAAATTTTGTTTCATCTCTTTGCTATCATCACACCAGTTGTAACACTAGCTGCCCTTTGCTTGACTGCATTAAATTATTTTCTTCAGTATGGCCTTTATTAGAGTTTTATTTGGCCGAAGTATTCATCTCAATTTTGTTAAACACCCAATTCTTTTTTTATTCGAAGTCTCCCCAGAACCCCTGTGTTGATTACTTACCTTTCCAGAAAGAGCCACCTTTTCTTTTGTATATCACATCTCCAGAGCCTTACTCAGACTTTCTAATTGCTTGTTCTTTGACCAAGTTACCGACCCTTATAATATCGTTTTTAACACGGACACCCACTGAGACTGCATTACCACATGGGAGTTTCGTGGCTACACTAAAAACCATTCACTTGGATCACGTCAATTGTCTAATATTCAGGAACTGCGGTGGTAACTTTTCCGTTACACGCAATTAGGTAAATCGTTAAACTCGCAGAACAGCAACACTAGGAAAAGAACACACAGAATGGTCAATACGTCATCCAAAAACGGCGCTGGCGTGGTAAGCGCCGATAACAAATTAGAAATCCAACATTTCGAAATATCTTCCCATTTCCATTCAAGAATTCATGTCCTTTAGTTTTCAAATACAGGCCACAATTATCGAATTGGATTTTGATTAGAAAAACAATGTCACATAACTGGGGTATATTTAGTTGTTTGCTGGAAAATTAAAGAACATTCTAAGTTTATTACAGTCATGATAATATTTTTTTAAACCAGAAGTTTGCTTTCACAGTTAATATTTCAATTAGCAGATAAAACTGACATTTACATTTTTCGTTTTCTTTTGCAGTAGCTCATGTTCAAATTAATCGTTTATGGAAATCGAAGAATCGAGGCATGTTTTTAAAGTTAAATTAAGATTTTCCGTAAACTGCAAGTTTCCTGTCTCGTTAAGTTGTGTTTTAAGTGGCATTAAAAATTTTAATAACTAGTTTGACAGTTTCACTTATCTAGGGAGCAAGATGTCATCTACAGGAGATACCGCACCAGAAATATCATTTAGAATAGCACTGGCATCTAGTGCCTTCAATAAACTGTCTAACATCTGGAAATCAAAGAAACTTAGCAAACACACAAAACTCAAGATCTTCAATTCTTGTGTGATTCCAGTACTAACCTATGGATGCGAGAGCTGGAAATCAACGAAAACTCTAGACACAAAATTAGACAGTTTTGAAAATAAATGCCTTAGAAGAATACTAAATTTCAAATGGTCAGATTTCCGAACCAATACACAAATAAGGCAAGAATCCAGGCAAGAGTATGTGTCTAATTTTATACGAAAACGCCGCTGGAACTATGTCGGCCACGCCTTAGAATGGATAAATCAAGACTTCCTTACCAAGCCCTCATTTGGACACCACAGGGGAAAAGATCTCGTGGAAGACCAAGGGAAACCCTACGTAGAACTATCATCAGGGAAGGCTCGCTCATGGGCCACTCAAACATCCAAGACCTACAACGGATTGCAACGAACCGCCGTGCATGGAGAGTCACGACCTCTGCCCTATGTGCCGCACTCGACACAAGAGGAAAGACTAACTAACTAAGTTTGGCATGTCTGGTCTGTCATATTTAAATGTCACAGGACTTGGCGACTCCTTCTTTACAAAGAGAATATGTTTCCCATTTCTGTGTCTGTGATGGTGATTCATTGTTCAGTTTGTCTCAGATTAGTTGAACATATCGCCATCTTCTAGTCAGCGGTTTTGAAAACACTTCTCTGATTTGTATTTCGCTTTTAAAAAATTCATTCATTAAATTTTAATCCATATCCTGGTGAATTTGTTTTTTGGATGCGTATACAGGGCTGCAGATTTTTTTTTTATGGGGGGGGGGGGGGGGGGGGGGGGAGGGGGGATGGGGGGGGATAATACAAAATGTTTGTTCAAATAAGTGAGTAAGAAACCACATCAGAAAGTACCAAATGTTTAATTTTTAATTAAAAAACAGAACGTCCTTTATATCAGCACGCACGCACCACGCACACATTCTCTCTCTCTCTCTCTCTCTCTCTCCCTCTCTCTCTCTCTCTCTCTCTCTCTTTCTCCCTCTCTCTCCCTCTCTCTCTCTTTCTCTCTCTCGCTCTCTCTCTCTCTCTCTCTCTCTCTCTCTCTCTCTCTCTCTCTCTCTCTCTCTCTCACACACACACACCAACTCACACTCATGAGCGCACATTTGACTGGCTAACCTTACATTTGAAAAGAATTGAAATTCTCTGCCCGTTACATAATTGATGTACCTTTTTATTTCTCTCAGTTTGTTTTAAAGCTTCTTTTACGGCTTCCTTTTGGTGCACTTATTGTCCTGAAGCAGTAACTTTCATCTCATCAAATATATTTTTTGCAAGTCTTCAAAAAGACAGATTTTTATCTCATAATATTATTAAGCAGAACGAAAACGTTTTCTGCGGCTGCAGAGGAATAAGATAATGCTGAAATATTGCCCATGCATGTTGATACAAACGGAATGCTATTTTTACCTCGAAATTCTGCGTCTGAAATTGTAAACCAAACTCTTTCTATGGTGTCCCCCACCCTCTCCAGCATTAGATGATTGATGTGGTGCTATTAGTTCTCTGCATTATTTTTTTTCCTAATGTTTTTCTTTAACTAGGGCCCTTTGGGAAACGGGTGAACAGTGCGGAGGCGCAGATGGATCATTACGATCTGAGGAGAATGGCGCTGCCAGGAATTACCAATTGATCTAGCTGACGCTCTACACTCAGGGCAAGGATGAGACGGATATACGATCAGACGGTTACTTGCACCATCAGAATTGTAGCTCTTCGCTTGCTGCTGAAGATGGGGATGGAGCATCTGTGGGAGTGTCCAGAGTGCTGTGATGTCGTTTCCATATTCAACATTCTTCTTTAACCAGGCTGAAAAATCAGATGACCAGTGGCATAACCGACATCGGTCTTCCTTAGTAACCTTGGATCAAGTGTAACTTTCATCTCAAGTGTACAGTTCTGCTACCAAGTTTTCAAAAAGTACAGATTTGTTCGAAATATCTTATTAATGGCAGAACGAATACGGGTCTTATTAATATCTTACCCCAGATGACGTCACATAACAGTCAAACATTTTAGAGGGTGGTAAGACTAGGTTTCCCGGCTATCTAATGCTTTTAACGACCCCAGAACGTCTAGAACTGGCCCTAACCCAACCTACCTACGTCCCAGGAGAGAGTGCAGCCTAGGTCCCACGACTGCATGCAGCCTATCTACCACCCCCTGAAATATTAGATTGTTCCTTGACCTGTGGATTTCCCCTGTCTGGGGTAGGATATTTAGCACCAAAGTACCAACTTCGACAGCGCCAATGGTTCATAGACTTTTTAGCTTTAAACTGTATAATTTGGAGTTCTGTATAGTGTTTGTCGTAAGCATATCTAATTTTATAACTATCTGACAAACACAGTAAAAGTAACATAAATTAAAGATAACAAATTATGTTGTTACCACTTTAACGACCTGTATGTGATTAATATCTAAATTAGGCGTCTCTTTCATTTTTCTTGCAGGTGAATGTGTGGGTGGCCTGCAGAAACGGATTCCAACAAAAGACATTCAAATCTGCCCTGAGCTGTGCCTGTTCCATATGCAGACGTAACCACTTAAAAAAACTGGATTATCTTTGTACAATTTGCACAGAGTAAAAGAAGTCAAGCAAAGGAACATTACCAATAATAACAATGTAACGAACTTTGAATACCCTATCTGATGTTTGGATACATATGTGTTTAAGTAAAGGAAAGTAAAGACTCTTTTCGACGCTTTCAGGCGTATTAGGCATATAGGGCACGACCTATATTTTGTAGACCAATCGGCAATCGGTGGGTTATGTGGTCAGCATTTCGCCGACTGGCTTTACTTACATGACTTCATCTAGTATCCATTTAATGTTGGATCGACATGGGAGCCAAGGTTGTTTTTGAAAAAAAGTCAGGCTCCTTCAGGGCCCGAACGCACGACCTTCCTACCCGTAGGCGAGTGACTAGCTACTATGCCACGGCGGCTTCCACAGATGTGTATTTGCACTTAAGATGACCGTTGTTATCATCATAATAGACCAATTACACTGTCGTTGGGTTATCAGTTATTTTGTCTGATCACTTCTCTCCGTCTTTGTCCGTCAGATGCGAGGACTTGGTGTTTGTACGTTTTACCGCCTCTCTAGAGATGTAGTGTGTAATATATTCAGGTTAAGGACAGGGTACAACAGACTTCGACTACATATATGCAAACTTTTCGGTGTAGGCAACTTGGCACCCGAAAATGCCGAGTATGTGCTCCAGCACTGTCAACTGTTTGCTGACAACAGAGACGCAATCTGGTCTGTTCCAACCACAATGAACACAAAACTGTATGGTACACGAGGAGATATGGACTGCACGATAACTTTCATAAAGGCTACCGGGCTCCTGATATAAGTTTTTTTTTGACAGAATGATCGCAGAGGCAGAAGAAGGTGTTTGCAAATCTGAAACCTGCCCATTCAGCCACATTCGGTATCTAGGTTTGTCTTGGTTTGTCTCTTCTCTTCTACCCCTCTACCCAACCCCGTAGTATCGTTTTGGAGAGTTTCTTAAAGTTAGCTGCGTATTCTTTACAGCACGTTGCAAAACCAATCCCAGCATTTTGTGGTGTTGTGGTTTTTCTAGGCAACTTTACGTCCAGTAGTTTGCCATTGCTTTTTAGACGGTCGGCTCCTAGATACCAGTGTCGAAACCAACGCAAGGCCCACAGCTGGGATCGAACCCGGTAACCCGGCATTACGAAGCGCGTTCGCAACGCCTAAGCCAAAGACGTACTGGAGAGACCAGTAGACAATGTTACAAGTCTGCAACATTACAGTTTACACTTAATGAATGTACACATATATTAATTATTCCCATTTCCACGGCAACCTGATTCGGTTCACGAGTGCAATTTTAGCGGGAATCCACGGGGATCGTCGCCGGAGCTACTGAACTCGTGCTTGGTAAGATAGTGAATAAACCTAGCACTTTTTGTCTTATACATCATATGCGTCAATGGGAGCTCATATGCACCTCTTCCACTAGCTCGTTTGATCAGACGTTTCTCTGACCTGACACTGCCTGTCAAGAATCTTCTGTTTCGACAACTCCTTTTCCAAATATGTTAGTAGCATAAGAAGTTCGTGTGTGTTCTATGTTGAAAACATTTTGCATCGCATAAAGTAGACTATTTATGATCGCTTTTATTTTCACCAAAATTTAATTTTATTAGATTCTAACTTTCATTCATTTTCTACGCTAAACACCAATTGACAGTTCAAATGGAACATTTAAAGTCTTGTTCTATTTTGCGTGAGCACGCGCGCGCGCGCGCACACACACACACACACACACACACACACACACACACACAGGTAGCATTGAATGTTCTTCGTGTTCTATGTTGGAAGCTACATTGTTCACTTGTATTGTATATTATTTAAAGAACAAACGTTAACAAACATTAATCGGTAACATAGTTTTAAAATATACACAGTAAGCAAATCGCGCTTGCTACTAAAAAAAAAAAAAAAGCATCGCATAGCTACTGAAAATAACAAAATAATATCATAATTTTGACATTCAAAATCTTTGTAATGTCATGAAATTTTTGACATTCACAAATCTTTGTAATTTAATGAATCAGACATGGACTGTGAAATGTGCACTCATAAGAATATTGTGAAATGTCTACTCCAATCAGTTTGGGCTCAGTGTGACTGTGGACTCTAAGAGGAGAGATTGTGGACTCTTAAAAGTGTGGACTGTGAGAATGCGAGACTCTTAAGAGTTTGGGCTCTTAGGACTGTGGACTCTAAGAGTAAGGACTCTAAGATTGTGGACTTCAAAAGTGTAGACTCTAAGAGAGTGGACTCTTAGAGTGTGGAATATAAGGATGTGCACTCTAAGAGTGTGGACTCTTAGGATGTTCACTAGAAGATTGTAGACTTTAAGATGTGGACTGTAAGAGTGTGGACCTCTAAGACTGTGGACTGCAAGAGTGTGGACTCATAAGAGTGTGGATGCCGATGGCCCCTGTTTCGAGATTTGTATGCCTGTCATGTGAAACCAATTAAGTATTTACGTATACATTGTGTGATAATGCATAAATATATTTTAAAATCCAATATTTTGATGTTCATCTCTCCAACTTTACGAGAAACTGAAGTTGCTGAAAAATCAATACAATGGAAACATGCTGCCATTGCAAATGGATATTGTGTGTGTGTGTGTGTTTTTTTTATATCTAATTTTTATTTGAACAAGCAGAGTTTTCTTAGACTTCTTGTTTAGATTCCAGCTTACCTTGTGTTGTGGAATTTGTCGTATGTGTGTTTTAATTGAATTAGTGGTTTACCGTCGTCTGATGCAGGCTATGCTCACGTGTGGCATTCTCAATGTGAGTTTCGGGGTCCCTTTGATGTGAAAACTAGAATTGACCAACCGCCGGCTAACAAGTGTGTCATAAGTCGACTAATTAGGGATGTTTCATTCGAAGTCGGAGTGCATCTGCTTGACAGGCGAGAAAAAAAAAAAAGGGTTTGCCTACAGATATGCCAGATCTGTAAAAAGAATAAGCACGCAAAAAAGTAGTGTCTGGAACAACACTAAAGTCCAGAAGTGGGTGAACAACCAGAACTTTTGAAGTGGGTGAACAAGCAGAACTTTCGAAGTGGGTGAACAAGCAGAACTTTCGAAGTGGGTGAACAAGCAGAACTTTCGAAGTGGGTGAACAAGCAGAACTTTCGAAGTGGGTGAACAAGCAGAACTTTCGAAGTGGGTGAACAAGCAGAACTTTCGAAGTGGGTGAACAACCAGAACTTTCGAAGTGGGTGAACACCCAGAACTTTCGAAGTGGGTGAACAACCAGAACTTTCGAAGTGGGTGAACAAGCAGAACTTTTGAAGTGGGTGAACAAGCAGAACTTTTGAAGTGGGTAAACAACCAGAACCCTTCGAAGTGGGTAAACAACCAGAACTTTCGAAGTGGGTGAACAAGCAGAACTTTCGAAGTGGGTGAACAACCAGAACTTTCCGCTAGTGTTTAGAGCCAATGAACGCGAAGACAAAGACAAGTAGCATGAAACAAGTAGGCTGTGGTGACGTGTACAATTACATCGAGTACACTCTCATTCGTTATTTATGTAGCCATTTTGCTAATTTCATGCGATCATACAGGAAGGGCGAAAACAGTCACGTGTCTTAGATATGTACAATCACGGTCGTCTACTAGTCCTACACAATCATAAATACTGGTCGTTTTCAATCTCATATGCTGGAGGTATACAATCCCAGATACTAATCCTACACAATCATAAATACTGGTCGTTTTCAATCACATATGCTGGAGGTATACAATCCCAGATACTAATCCTACAAGACATATACTGGTCGTTTTCAATCACATATGCTGGAGGTATACAATCCCAGATACTAATCCTACACAATCATATATACTGGTCGTTTTCAATCACATATGCTGGAGGTATACAATCCCAGATACTAATCCTACACAATCATATATACTGGTCGTTTTCAATCACATATGCTGGAGGTATACAATCCCAGATACTAATCCTACACAATCATATATACTGGTCGTTTTCAATCACATATGCTGGAGGTATACAATCACGGACACTAGTCCTACACAATCATATGTACTGGTCGTTTTCAATCACATATGCTAAAGGTATACAATCCCAGATACTAGTCCTACACAATTATATATACTGGTCATTTTCAATCACATATGCTGGAGGTATACAATCCCAGATACTAGTCCTACACAATTATATATACTGGTCGTTTTCAATCACATATGCTGGAGGTATACAATCCCAGATACTAGTCCTACACAATTATATATATACTGGTCTTTTTCAATCACATATGCTGGAGGTATACAATCACGAATACTGGTCCTCTACAATCATATATACTGTTCGTGTTCATCTTTTTTGCAGGTTTCAGCTACACGTATGTTGGAGATATACAATCACAAATATTGGTACTGTAAATTCACAGATGTCGAATGTTTACAATCACACAGATGTGTGAGCCGTTTGCAGGTTCAACAAGGAAATGTCACATGTCACAAGAACAATCAGATTCGCACACCACATTTGTCCAAGGGTCAAGTCACCCCCCCCCCCTTCCGCTCCCCATCTTGCCCCGTTGTTCTGTTCTAGACCCCAAACAACACGGGTACTTGCAAAGAATAAGACGACTGAAAAGGACTGCAATAACATAGTCGGGAAAACTCAGAATACATGTCACAACAACGGTTTATTACTAACCACACAAAGTGAAGAGGAAAACGTCGTGGTGTAGCAGCTAGATGCCTGAGGATTCTAGGGTCGTGGGTTCAAATATGCATGGTTCCGGATTACTTTCAAGCACGACCTTGCTCCTAGATGAACCCAACCTTAAATGGGATCCAGGAAAATTCCTGGGAAGTACGGGCAGCCAGCGTGAAGTTGACCGTATCCCTCACCGTTGATCTATACAAATGTGAGCCTAGCCTGGTGTGATCGGTTCTCCTCTGGCGTGTAAAGGGACTTCTACTTGACTGTTAGTGACAGCGACTTAACAACAGTCTGGGACACTCAGATGCAATACTCGCCCGGCTCTCTAGCG